TCACTGAGCGTGCCCCCTGGCGCGCCCCCTGGGACCCCCCCCTGGGACGTCACCCGACGCGTCCGCTAGCGCGTCCCTTGCCACGTCCCATGGTGTTCCCTTGGCGTGTCTTTCTAGCGCGTCCCGCGGCACGTCCGTGGCGTTTTCCTTGGCACGTCGCGTGGCATGCCCCATGGCGCGTCCCGCGGCGCGCCCCCTTGCGCCCCTGGCGCGTCCCGCGGTGCGCCCCTTAGTGGATCACATCGCAGCATGGCTCGGTACCACAGAGCAGGTAGTGGTTCGACAATGTGAGCGAACTCGCGCGGACTTCGCATGCTTCGAGCTGGTTCAGCGCCCCGCACGTTTCGATTGCAACCAGTTCTGGGCGAGCTATGCGTTCAGGAAGCTCGAGTTCAAGATCCAGATCAGTTCGGCCAGGAGTCGGACGCCAAGGACGACTTGCGTACAGCGTAGTTCAAAGCGACACAACACATTTCAACTCGGCACAGCATGGCACAGCACAGCACAGCCTGTGGCACTGTACATCATTGTTACCTTGAGCATTGCAATTGCCCGTCGACCAATTAGGTGTCGTGAAGCGTTGCCATGCTTTTCATTTCTATGTCCCTGTCCGGGTTCGAGGGTCGATCATGTTGAGATTCCGGTCGATAAAACAGATTGTAAAGTAGACATGTTCGTTTGTTGCGGATGTCTCGAGCGAAACGCTTGTGCTGCAGAATTTGTCGAGGAGGTCTCGAGCAAAACGTTTGTTTTGTGTTCTTGTGTATTCCTCTCCTGGGGGGCAGAATACAAAGGATGTCTCAGGTGAAATGTTTGTTTTCTCGTGCCCAGGTCTTGAGGATGTCTCGAGCGAGACGCTTGGTTTCACGCGTCCAGGCTGTCCAGGCAGATGTCTAGCATGAGGATGTGTTGAGGATGTCTCGAGCGAGACGTCCAGGTCGCCCAGGCAGATGTCTAGCATGAATATGTGTTGAGAACGTCTCGAGCGAGACGCTTGTTTTCGTGTGTCCAGGTCGCCCAGGCGGGTGTCTAACATCTAACATACAGATGTGTCGAGCATGTCTCAAGCGAGACGCTTGGATTCACGCGTCCAGGTTGCCCAGGCAGATGTCTAGCATGAGGAGTTGTTGAGGATGTCTCGAGCGAGACGCTTGTTTTCACGCGTCCAGGTCGCCCAGGTGGATGTCTAACATGAAGATGTGCTGAGGATGTCTCGAGCGAGCAACGTGTTTTCACGAGTCCAGGTCGCCCAGGCGGATGCCTAGCATGATGATGTGTTGAGCGAAACGCTTGTTCTCACGTTTCCAGGTCGCCTGGGCGGATGCCTAACATGAGGATGTGTTGAGGATTTCTCGAGCGAGGCGTTTGTTTTCACGCGTCCAGGTTGGCCAGGCAGATGTCTAGCATGAGGAAGTGTTGATAACCTCTCGAGCGAGATTCTTGGTTTCACGTGTCCAGGTCGCCCAGGCGGATGTCTAACATGAGGATGTGTTGAGCATGTCTCGAGCGGGACGTCTGTTTTCACGCGTCCAGGTTTTCCAGGCAGAACTCCAGCATGAGAAAGTGCTGATAACCTCTCGAGCGAGACGCTTGGTTTCACGTGTCCAGGTCGCCCAGGCGGATGTCTAACATGAGGATGTGTTGAGGATGTCTCGAGCGGGACGTCTGTTTTCACGCGTCCAGGTTGCCCACGCGGATGTCTAGTATGAGGATTTGTTGAGGATGTCTCGAGCGAAACGCTGGTTGCGGTAGAGTGCGCATCATTCCAACCCCGCCCGTTTGTGGGGCGTCCCTTGGTGCGTTGGCGCGTCCCTTGGAGCGTCTCTTGCGACGTTCTGTCGTGACGTGCCCTGGCACGTCCCCTGGTACGCTACTCGGCGTGACACGTTTCCTGGCTCGTCCTCTCGCGTTTTCTGGCTCGTCCCCAGGCGTTTCCCCTGCCCGTTCCGTGGCGCGCCCCTTGCAACCCTTTGGTTCCCCATGGCACGCGCCTTGGCACGTCCCGTGGCAGGTCCCTGACACGTCCAGGGCACGTCCCCTGATACGTCCCCTCTTGCGTCCCCTCGCGCGTCCCATGGCGCATCCCCTATTGCGCTCCTGGCACATCCGGTGGCGCGTCCGCGAGCCTGTGCCACGTGTCGTGTCGTTTCTTATCGGAGTTGAGTTGGAATTTCAGGGCGAGTTGATGGAACGTCCTCCACGTAACCATTTCAACTAGCTCTGGGGCAGCTACTATGTGCTCAGACAGCTCGAGCTTAAAATCCAGACCAGTTCGGTCAGGACTCGGATGCTAAGGAGAACTCGATGCACAACGCTATAGAGCACACTCGCGGCATGGCACATCGCAATCCAGCACGGCAAAGCACAGCACAGCCCTTGGAACGGTACATCAAGATCGATACGTTCAGCATTGTAATTGCCCGTCGCCCAATCAGGTGTCTTGAACATGTGGTTATGTTTGACATCTCTCTATTCCTTTCCGGGTTCGTTGGTCGATCGTTTTCAGTGTTCGTTGTCCCTCGGACCTGAACACTCATGTTTTTTGAAATGGTTGGTTGTCATAGCCCGCTCGTGTGGCACCCTTTGGGGGTTTTGCCATTCAGCCTGGTGGCGCTCAGGTAATACGGATTCCTGAGAAGGAATTCCTTAGCACGGGTTCCTTAGCAATGTCTTCATAGTAAAGACTTCTTCGTAAGGGTTCTTTGTTAAGGATTCCATATTATGTATTCTTACATCAGGATTCCTTGGGAATGATCCTGTATTGAGTACCTCTTCGGTAAGAATCCTGTAGGGCAGTCTCTGCAGTAATGACTCCTTATTAAGGAGTCCTTCTGTTGAGAATTCCACAGTGAGCATTTTCAATCTCTTTCACTAAGAGAAGACGCCCTTACTAGGCTTTCCTCAGAAAGAGTTCATTCCTTACGAACGGCTCTGTGCTAAGCACTCTAGCAAGACCATCGAACACGCACGTTGTCTGTGTTGTGTTCTCTACCTTTCTCCCTCTTTCTTTCTTTCTTTCTCTTTCTCTCTCTCGAACTGAGACGGCGCAGGCCCTTTTTCTACGGTCTGGCGCCGGAGGGGCTGGAGGAGGAGGGAAGAGGATGCGGAGGAGCAGGAGGAGCAGGAGGGGGAGGCAGGGGGAGGCAGGAGGATGATTGGCGGGTCCTGGCTATCACAGTTGTCTTGCCTGCCCTGCGACGGTACCGCCCACGGTGCCTCCGACTTTGAGGCGCTGATACCGAGAGGCTGACGCCACGCCCGGGTGGTCCACCCCCAGGAGGCCGTTTGGAGGCAGATGCGTGAAGGGGGGGGGGCAGTGAGGAGGGGCGGGCTTTCTCAGAAGGCTCAGAAGGCCTCTTGTCTTTGAGGAGCTTTCTATGCCTTCCCCTAAGACATAGAATATTTTTTCAGAACGCCAGAGGGTTCCTGAGAAATCCCACCGCCTTCTGAAAAGGCCTGCGTTTTCTCACTTCCCCCCCTCGCTCGCCGCCGAAGTGAGACTTCAACATGTTTGTGTTCAGGGTTTCCAGAGTTGGCCGAATGGGGGCGACAGGAGTGCCCCCAGTGGCTTGACGGCTGTTCTCCAATCAGCTTGCCGGGATCGAGCCAGGTAAATCGATGCGAGTCGATGGATGTCGACGTAATTCAACAAGATACCCCCGGGTAATTCCAGAGGTCTCCAGGCAAACTTGATGAGTCGTGGAAGATCCAGCGCGAGTCGAGGAGCATGAGGTCGTTAAATCCTCAACGAAAATGGCGACGATTATCGACAGCACACCTGTGCGTTTTGGACAGGGCTGGGTGTCAAGATGGGCGTGGTCGGTTTGGCGGTGAGCAGCCGCGTCCCGTCTTGGGCAGCGTGTGCTCCTGGGCATCGTCCCCGTTTCTGCTGCCCCCGCTTGGGGGGTGTGCCAGGAGGAGGGGAAGAGAGGAGGAGGGGGAACAAAAGCGCCCCGGGCGATGAGGCACGGTGCCCTGGCGGCTCGGGCGAAGCCCGCGCTGGGCCCCAGAGAACCGTCAAATCAGCACGGCCCGGGATGAGAAGCGCCCGTCCCGGGCAGCAGAGGTCGGGAGGTGTGGGGCTGGCGACCTGGGAAAATCGGGTCTGCGGAGGTCTGGGGCACACGCAATGGCGCGAAGGTGATGGCGTTTCGCGCCTCGCTGTGAACGGCCGTCTTGGAACGGGGGAAACAGAGAGGCCGGGCGGCGACGAAGGAGCGGGTCGATATCCCACCCGCTACTTTTTCCTGAAACGCGCACTCGAGCCACACGGTTGCCAACCCTTGAATACTGTGTATTCGCCCAGCAGTGTGACTATACCAAAGGAAACTCACTGAAACAACTCTGGGGACCTCCTGGGACATGGGAGATGGGAAGCTCTAAGACATCGCGCCGCTCTGCGCTTCGCGGCCCGGGCCCGAGCGTCGCGCTTCCGGGCCGCGCGAGCGCGTCCAGGATGACTCTGCGCGGTTCTGATGGGAAGACCACGGAGGACGGGCTCCATTGGATCCACGGGGTTGCGCGCGCGCGAGGTGCGACGGGACCGAAGCGCCGGGGGGGGTCGGGTGTGACCGGAGGTGCCTTGGGCCCAGAGTCTGGGGCCTGGAAGTAGCCACACGCTTGCTCTGGAGGCCCCCCCTGGGCTACCAGACGCCCCCCCAGGGGTCCCGCCTCGGGCGGGGGGCACTCCCAGCATCGAAGAAGCAGGACCGCGGAGGTCCGCGCGGATACCTCAGGTGAGCACCGGGGCCTCCCTCCCCTAACTGGCGGGACGCGCCGGGGGGGGGCGTCAGAGGCGCAGCCAGGAGAGGCGGGCCGTGCCCTGACCCAGCTCCAGAACGGTGTTATGCCCGCAAATGCCTGCGTGCATGAACGTGTGCGTGACTGTGTGCATGTGTGTTGGCATGCATGTGCGCATGTGTGCATGCCCTCCGTGCGGTCTCCCGTGGCAGTACGCGAGCCAGGCGGGGCCACACCGCACACGCCCTCGCTGCCCCCAGCTGGGCGGGGCCACGCGGGCTATGACTGGAGCGCCCTCATCGTGTCACATCGCCTTTTCTCGAATCTCGGCCGGCGCGGGCTGGGATGGTCCCTGCGGGAGGCGGGTTCGTCTGCGGGGCCCGCAGCCAGGGTCAGTCCTCCCTCCCTTCTTCCCGGAAAGGGCGGGGGCCCAGGGTTCTCCTTTCCCGGAAAGGGAGTGGGCCCAGGGTTCTTTTTCAGTTGGATCTACCCCCGGGGGGACGACGGGAGGTAAAGTGCGAATTTCCAGTTGAACAAGTGCGTGTTTCGCGTGTCCTCTCGAGGAAAGTCTGCACCCCATCTCGGATCCTCGATAGATAACGGGTCCGCAGACCACCGCTTTCCTCAGTGAAAAACAGGATGCGGCGCGTTCTGTGTGGAATCCATGAAGAATAACGAGGTCTGGAGACTTAACCAATTCGTGAAATAGGCGACCCAGGAGGTATCTAACATGGTGGTCCCGAGCTAGGGTATCTGACATGGTGGTCCTGAGCTGGAATAATGTGTTTTCACATATCCAGCCCACCCAGGGGGGTATCTAACATGGTGGTCCCGAGCTAGAATCACGTGCTTTTGCATTTTCAGGCCACCCAGGGAAGTATCTAACATGGTGGTCCTGCGCTGGAACCGCGTGTTTTCAAGTGTCCAGTCCACCCGGGGGGGAATCTAACATTGGTCCTGTGCTGGAGCCACGTGTTTTGACGTGTCCAGGCCACCCAAGGGAGTAGCTAACATGATTGTCCCGAACTGGAACCATGTGTTTTTACGTGTCCAGGCCGCCCAAGGGGGATATCCAACATGGCGTCGGGCCCAACGCCGAATTATCAGGATACGCACGGGGGGCCGAAAAAGCGCTGAGTGAACACATAATTATCCTAATGCAGAAGAGTCATGTTTTCTTGCTCTGTACAGGGGGTGGCGCTTTGGGGGCCTCTCCAGGGAAGACACTGCGAGGATGTCTCGAGCGGGAGCGCGAATTCAGCGTATCCATGCCACGCAGGGGGTATGTAACATGGTTGTCCCGAGCTGGAACCACGTGTTTTTACATTTCCAGGCCACCCAGGGGGATATCTAACTTGGTCGTCCCGAGCTGGAAACACGTGATTTTACTTGTCCAGGCCACCCACTGGGGTATCTAACATAGTTGTCCCGAGCTGGCACCATGTGTTTTTACGTTCCCAGGCCACACGGGGGGGGTATCTAAGAGTGTGGCCCCGAGCAGGGACCCAATGTTTTATCGTGTCCAGGCCGCTCAGGGGTACATCTAACATGGTTGTCCCGAGCTGGCACCCACGTTTTTACGTGTCCAGGCCACCCAGGGGGTATCTAACATGGTTGCCCCGAGCAAAGACCACGTTTCTTCCCGTGTCTAGGCCACCCAGGTGTGTATCTAACATGGTTGGTTGCCCAGAGCTGGATCCATGTGTTTTTACATGTCCAGGCCGCCCAAGAGGGGTATCTAACATTGTCGTCCCGAGCTGGAACCATGTGGTTTTACGTGTCCAGGCCACCCAGGGGGTATCTAATATGGTTGCCCAGAGCTGGATCCACGTGTTTTTCCCGGAAAGGGCCTGGGCCCAGGGTTGTCTTTTAGTAGGTTTATCCCCGGTTTTGACTTGAAGGGGGCCGGCTAATTTCTTGTGCGATAAATTACGAGGTCGGAGGGGGCCGGCGAATTAAAATTGTGAGGACGAAGGCCATTTTTCGCCACCCCTCACGCAGATCGTGCTCTTGGAATTTTACTGCCTTTAAGGAAACCTCGATATTTCACAGGTGAAGTCCACTTTTTTCCGACATCGACTTTAAACGATAAAAAACGAGGTAAACGCGTTCGCTCGATAGATAACGAGGTGAACGGCGCTGGGAACGGAGTTTTGGATTCTTGAAGTTGCATAAGTTCGGAAATAGCAGAAATCCAATTTGTTTTTGGACCCTGACCCCGCGGATCTGCGTGAGGGGTGGCACCGAATTTCAGAAATGTGGCAAATCCCATGTGTTTTTTGACCCTGACCCCGCGGATCTGCGTGAGGGGTGGCACAGAATTTCAGAAATGTGGCAAATCCCATGTGTTTTTGGACCCTGACCCCGCGGATCTGCGTGAGGGGTGTCACCGAATTTCAGAAATGCGGCAAATCCCATGTGTTTTTGGACCCTGACTCCGCGGATCTGCGTGAGGGGTGGCACCGAATTTCAGAAATGTGGCAAATCCCATGTGTTTTCGGACCTTGACTTCGCCCAGGAGGGCCCAGGAGAGCCCAGGAGAGCCCAGGAGAGCCCAGGAGGGCCCAGGAGAGCCCAGGAGGGCCCAGGAGGACCCAGGAGGCTCCAAGAGGCACCAGGGGGCCCAAGGAGGGCCCAGGAGAAGCTCCAGGAGGCTCCAGGAGAGCCCAGGAGGGCCCAAGAGGTCCAAGGAAGACCCAGGAGGGCCCAGGAGCCCTTACGAGGGATCGTGGCCCTGGGAGCGCTGACGCAGCGTAATTTACGAGGGATCGTGGCCCTGGGAGCGCGGGTGTAGTGTAATGTTTGAGGATGTCCCTAGCGAAACGCTTGTTTTTCAGAATTTGTTGAGGATGTCTCGAGCGAAACGCTGGTTTTGCAGAGTTGGGGATGTCTCGAGCGAAACGCTTGTTTTCAGAATTTGTTGAGGATGTCTCGAGCGAAACGCTGGTTTTGCAGAGCCGACAGCGACGCGAAAAAGCGTCCCGCGCGCAGGAATTCCGATGATGTTTCGCGCGTGCGGCGTCCCGCGCGCAGGAATTTCGAGGATGTCTCGACTAATTTGTTTGTGTTGCGGGATTTCTTTGAATTTTGGCAGGATGTCTCGAGCGAAATGCTTGTCTTTCATAATTTGTTGAAGACGTTTCGAGCGAAACGCTGGTTTTGCAAAATGTTCATAATTTGTTGAGGATGTCTCGAGCGAAACACTGGTTTTGCAAACTTGGGGGATGTCTCGAGCGGGGGCCTCGTAGGGGGCCAGAATTCAGAGGATGTCTGATGCAAAATGCTTGTTTTCACGTCCCGCTCGCAGGAATTCCGAGGATGTCTCGCGCGTGCCGCGTCCCGCGCGCAGGAATTTCGAGGATGTCTTGACTACTTCGTTTGTTTTGCCAGGATTTCCTTGGATTTTGACTGGATGTCTCGAGCGAAACGCGTTTCCCCAGCACGTTCCATAGCGCGTCCCCTTGGCACGTCCCGCGGTGCGACCCCATGGCACGTCCTTTGGCACGTCGCTTGGCGCGTCCCTTGAGACGTTCCGCGGCGCGACCTCCTGGCATGTCCCCCTGTCAATGAGCTCTGGGGCAGCTACTATGTGTTCAGGCAGCTCGAGCTTAAGATCCAGATCAGTTCGGTCAGGACTCGGATGCAAAGGAGAACTCGATCCACGAGGCTATAGAGCAAAATCGCGCCATGGCACATCGCAATCCAGCACGGTGCAGCACAGCACAGCCTTCGGCAGGGTACATCAAGATCGATACAATCAGCATTGCAACCTGGCACGTTCCTTGGCACGTTCCGTGGCGCGTCCCGTGGCGAGCCCCCCTGGCACGTCGCGTAGCGCGTCCCCTGGCACATCCCGTGGCACATCCATTGGCCCGTTCCGTAGCGCGTCCTTTTGGCACGTCCCGCGGTGCGACCCCATGGCACGTCCCCTGGCGCGTCGCCTGGCGCATCCCTTTGGACGTTCCGCGGCGTGTCCTCCTTGCATGTTCCCCTGTCAATTAGCTCTGGGGCAGCTACTATGTGTTCAGGCAGCTCGAGCTTAAGATCCAGATCAGTTCGGTCAGGACTCGGATGCACAGGATGACTCGATCCACGAGGCTATAGAGCAAAATCGCGCCATGGCACATCGCAATTCAGCACGGTGCAGCACAGCACAGCCCTCGGCAGGGTACATCAAGATCGATACCTTCAGAATTGCATTTGCCCGTCACCCAACCAGATGTCTTTGAAAACGCTGCCATGTGTTACAGTTCTATATTCCTTTCCGGGTTCGTGGGTCGATATGTTACATGTCCAGGCCGCCCAAGAGGGGTATCTAACATGGTCGTCCCGAGCTGGCACCGACGTTTTTCCCGGAAAGGGCTTAAGCCCAGGGTTCTCTTTTAGATGGTTTACCCCCGGGTTAGACTTGAGGTGGGCCGGCGAATTTCTTTTGCGATAAAGATCGAGGTCGAGGTGGGCCGGCGAATTAACATTTGAGGATGTCTCGAGCGAAACGCTAGAGTTTCATAATTTGTTGAGGATGTCTCGAGCCGAACGCTTGTTTTGTGTTATAGATTGTCCTTTCCTGGGGACCTGAATTCAGAGGATCCCTCAAGTGAAATGCTTGTTTTCACGTGCCCAGGTCTTGAGGATGTCTCGAGCGAGACGCTTGGTTTCACGCCTCCAGGTTGCCCAAACAGATGTCTAGCATGAGGATTTGTTGAGGATGTCTCGAACCAGAGGCTTGTTTTCACGTGCCCAGGTCGCCCAGGCGGATGTCTAGCATGAGGATGAGTCGAGGAAGTCTCGATCGAGACGCTTGTTTGCACGTGTCCAGGTTGTCCAGGCGGATGTCTAGCATGAGGAAGTGCTGAGAACGTCTTGAGTGAAACGCGCGTTTTCACGTGTCCAGGTCGCCCAGACACAGCTCAGCCCTCGGCACGGTACATCAAGATCGATACCCTTAGCATAGCAGCCTGGCATGTTGCTTGGCAAGTTCTGCGGAGCGTCCCGTGGCGAGTCCCCCTGGCACGTCGCGCGGTGTACGTCCACTGGCACGTTCCGTAGCGCGTCCCCTTGGCACGTCCCGCGGTGCGTGCCCATGGCACGTCCTCTGGCATGTCGCCTGGCGCGTCCTTTGGGACGTTCCGCGGCGCGTCCTCCTGGCATGTCCCCCTGTCTATTAGTTCTGGGGCAGCTACGATCTGCTCAGGCAGCTCGAGCTCGAGATCCAGATCAGTTCGGTCAAGACTCGGATGCCAGGGAGGACTCGATGCACAACGCAAAATAGAGCACAATCGCGGCATGGCACATCGCATTTAAGCACGGCCCAGCACAGCACAGCCGTCGGCATGGTACTTCAAGATCGATTCATTCAGCATTGCACCTTGGCGCGTTCCTTGGCGCGTTCCGTGGCGAGTCCACCTGGCACGTCGCGCGGCGCGTCCCCTGGCACGTCCCGCGGCACGTCCACTGGCACGTTCCGTAGCGCGTCCCCATGGCACGTCCCGCGGTGCGTCCCCATGGCGCGTCCCATGGCACGTCGCCTGGCGCGTCCCTTGGGACGTTCCGTGGCGCGTCCTCCTGGCATGTCCCCTCTGTCGGTTAGGTTTGGGGCAGCTACGATCTGCTCAGGCAGCTCGAGATTAAGATTTAGATCAGTTCGGTCAGGACTCGGATGCCAGGGAGGACTCGATCCACAACGCGATATAGAGCACAATCACGGCATGGCTCATCGCAGTTCAGCACGGCGTAGCACAGCACAGCCTTCGGCACAGTACATCAAGATCGATACATTCAGTATTGCATTTGCCCGTCGCCCAATCAGGTGTCTTTGAAACGTTGCCATGCCTTACATGTCTATATTCCTTTCCGGGTTCGTGGGTCGATCATGTTACGTGTCCAGGCCATCCAGGGGGTATCTAACATGATTGTCCCGAGTTGGAACCGAGTGTTTTACGTGTCCAGGCCGCCCAGGGGGTATTTAACATGGCGGAGCCAGGTGCTTTAACGTGTCCAGGCCACCTAGGGGGTATCTAACATGGGCCTCCTGGGGCCTTCCTGGGGGCCTGGAGCGGACGTCTAAGATGAAACAGTGTTGAGGATGTCTCCAGGGAACCACTTGTTTTCACTGAGTCCAGTTCGCCCAGGCGGATGTCTAGCATGAGGTGGCACGTCCATTGGCACGTTCCGTAGCGCGTCCTCTCGGCACGTCCCGCGGTGCGTCCCCGTGGCACGTCCCCTGGCACGTCGCCCGGCGCGTCCGTTGGGACGTTCCGCAGCGCGTCCTCCTGGCATGCATGTTCCCCTGTCAATCAGCTCTGGGGCAGCTACTAGTTATGTGCTGAGGCAGCTCGAGCTCGAGATCCAGATCAGTTCGGTCAGCACTCGGATGCAAAGGAAGACTCGATGCGCAACGCTATAGAGCACAATCGCGGCATGGCACATCGCATTTAAGCACGGCCCAGCACAGCACAGCCGTCGGCATGGTACTTCAAGATCGATTCATTCAGCATTGCACCTTGGCGCGTTCCCTGGCACGTTCCGTGGCGAGTCCCCCTGGCACGTCGCGCGGCGCGTCCTTTGGCACGTCCCGTGGCACGCCCATTGACACGTTCCGTAGCGCGTCCCCTCGGCACATCCCGCGAGGCGTCCCCGTGGCACGTCCCTTGGCGCGTCGCCTGGCACGTCCCTTGGGACGTTCCGCGGCGCGTCCTCCTGGCATGTTCCCCTGCCAATCAGCTCTGGGACAGCTACTATGTGCTCAGGCAGCTCGAGCTTGAGATCCAGACCAGTTCGGTCAGGACTCGGATGCAAAGGAAGACTCGATGCACAACGCTATAGAGCACAATCGTGGCATGTCACATCGCAATTCAGCACGGCGCAGCACAGCACAGCCCGTGGAACGGAACATTAAGATCGAAGCATTCAACATGGCAGTTGCCCGTCGCCCACTCAGGTGTCTTGAAAACGTTGCCATGCCTTACATGTCTTTATTCCTTTCCGGGTTCGTGGGTCGATCATGTTCTCCCCGGGAGTGGAGAGGAGAGGAGGAGGCGACGGCCCAGGGGCATGGAGGTGCGAGGAGGAGAGGGCAGGAGGGAGGCAGAAGGGGGGGGAGGAGCAGGAGGAGGAGGAGGAGGAGGAGGAGGAGGAGGAGGATGAAGAGGAGGAGGAGGAGGAGGAGGAGGAGGAGGAGGAGGAGGAACAGGAGGAGGAGGAGGAGGAGGAGGAGGAGGAGGGAGGAGGAGGAGGAGGAGGGAGGAGGAGGAGGAGGAGGAGGAGGAGGAGGAGGAGCTTCGCGAACCTGGGCCGTGGACCCTGGCTGCGAGCTTCGGGGGGCGGCCGGCCCCCCCGCCCTCTGACGCTTCCTCTGGGAGCGCGGCCGCGGAGGGGAGGGGCTCGCGGTGCGGTGCCGCAGGGCGCCACCCAGGGGCCCTACCTGTCCCCGCGCGCCTCTGCCGTTCCTCCTGCCGAGCCCCCTTCCCGAGCGCCTTCCCCGGGCGCCTTCCCCGAGCCCGTTCGAGCGCCCGTGCCTCCCCCGAGCGCTTTCTGTGCGCTCCCCGCCAGAGACTCTTCGGATGCTCACGTGTGTGTGTGTGTGTGTGCGCGTGTGTTTCAGTTTTTGGTTTCTTCACAATTTCTGGCATTAGCATCCATTCGCCGCATGTGCAGTATAGTACGCAACGCTTGAAGTTAGGAGTGCTTGAGTGAAGACAGCAGAGTTGGTTGAGATGAGCCTCTGGGGCCCCGCTCAGATCTCCACGTCCATTGCTGTTTTGCTCCAGCTGTGTTTGCAGGCTGTTGGCTTAGGTTGACGCTCGAACTATTATCAGGGATTGCAGTGCACACGCGTGTGGGTTTACAGTCTGCGGCATGGCATGCTCGTGTTGCTGACTGTGCAGTTCTAGACAGTCAGCTAAGCAGGTGGAAAAAAGGAGTCGCGGGCTGTCGCCGCATGCTGCCGCCGATTTTGATTATCCTCACGTCTATTTGCTCTTCACCATCGTGTGTTCGGGTCCGTCTGGAACTGGTCTGTATGGCAAGTGCACCACCGACCCTTTCCATATCATCTCCATGTCAGTCAACATCCCCGACTACTCCGGCTCCCACTTCGTCTACACGTCCCACCCTGCAAGGCTACTACGGCGCTGAGCTCCAACGTGGGCTACGGAGTCGGGAACGAGTTCACCTCCTTGCAAGTCGAGCTGCAGATGGCGTCCTACGTCAGGAGTTAGGCCGCGTAGGCAGCCTAGGACAAACCCTGAATTTCCCGACGCACCTTCTCTTTCGACGTGAACCCCAGGAGCACGGCATATTGTTCATGAGTTTCTGGCCAAGCGTTCTCTGGCAGCTGTTGGTGGACGCACCTCGCCCCGCCTCCCTGAAGTCCCTCGACCTCCTACAGCATATGACCTCCTACTTCACCTCCGCAACCCCTTTCCCCACCTTGCCCAGTTTGGTTGGGATTGGGACTACGATATGCAAGCTACGCTGTGGACTCTTGGGTAGCAGGAGGCAGTCTTGGCGGTGTCTCAGGGCCATGCGAGCCCCCCCACTAGGCTTCCACAAGGCGCTTGTTCGTAGGGGCTCAGCAGACCTCATCAACGCGCTAGACCTCATCGAGTTGCTCCGACTTCAGACCTCTGCAGTTTTTGGAGACTTCCAGTGTGTAGGCGCTGAGCGTGCGTATATTTACCAGCTTGGCCTTCGAAACATATAGATAGGACAGGCTTCCCAGGAGCGCACCAGCGGCGAGATGCTTGGCTTCTCTCGCAGGCCACGTGAACACCTCCGCGCATGGACGCAGGTGGCCGTCGGCAAAAGCCATGTTTAGCAGCCCCCCAGAGCAGAGGATATCACACTCTCCTGCAAGGGAGATGGCGGCATGACTTCCTCTGCCCTGGTCCTAGATATCACAGATGTTGGTAATGCATATTCGCTGGAATCGGCATATATACATCTTCACCGACCCGAAGCCAATAACATACCTACACCTCTCCTTCGAGGACCCCGCGGACCCCGAAAACGCCCTCGACGCAGGTGTAACAGTCGGTATGCAAGTCGATCCCCACGTACTTTCCAGGACCAGGACGATGAATGGCACTCGCAGTGCCTCGAGCGACTTTCTCGGCGACACATGGCAAGACAAGTTTTTCTCCAGAGCCGTCGTGAATGGCAGACGCTCCTCCGATACCCGTTCAAGCGTGCATGTCAACAATTTCAGCGTCGTGAATTTCAAAAGCATGGGCAGCTCGGACCCATCGATGTACATGGTAAAGGGTATCTACCATTGTTATTCAAGTATGTTGCGATAAGGCCACATGATGTTGAATGGGGCCGAGCTGCCGACCGACGGTTTCACCCAGCAGATTTTTGCATCGTGGTTTGGTCAGCTTGCAGTCGTCTTCCCCACTGTCACGATCGATTGCGCGCTCGGGCTGATGCCAAGCAAGCCGCGGGCGCGGCGAACATCTCTGGCCGCGGGCCAGTTTCCTCTTGGCCCCGTCGCCGGCCTGGAACGGACGGGTGCGATGGTGGCTTCAGCATGTCCTACGCCGAGAAGGAGCTACAATGCCCCACTGGGTTTCCCTGGCCCGACGACGTACCAGCATCGGCCAAACCACGCCCAGCCCGATGAAGCGGGACGTTTTGAACGTCACCAAGAACTTGAACCAATTTCGATTTGAGGACTTCGCGAACCTGGATCCCGAGTTTTTGGAGAAAGTTGTGCAAGGACATGATGTATCTAGGCCCCCCACTTAATGGTCAGACACCTCGTGAGCTTCTGCCGGCCGAGGCTCGCGGTGCAGTTTGGGAGTTTTGTGGGAAGTGGTTGAGGCAGCATGGCCCACCTCAGGCTCGACTCGGGCCACTTCGCTGCTCAGCCACAGCTCCCTCAGCAGCCAGTCATCCTCTGCCAGTTTTGCGCGATGCTCAGCGAGCACGATTCAGTCTTTCGCAGACATGGGCCTCGCAGCCTGTGTCGCTGTCGAGGATGAGGGCCCTAATGCGACGTGGGTGGTGTGTAGCTTCTATATGTTAGTTCGATGGATTTACCTTATTAGCCGAGTTCCCCGCCGCTGGAAACTAAACGCATCCTTTTTTTCAGACGCTGTATCCTGGTATCGGGCCCTCTTGGATTGGACTATGCCTCGGAAGGTCTTCAGAGGAAAATCTGCGTTTAGCGCCGAGAACCTGCCCTACTGTCATCCCACGGCGAAGCTAAAGTGTGGGACCCCCGAGGGCAAGCGCCGTTGCACTGACAAGACGCACTCGTGCTTCCGAAATATAGGTTCTTTCTTTTAGATCCCTGGCCGACGCCTTTTTCGACGGGTCGGCCGAGGCGTGCACCGCGCGCTGCGGTATGTCGCGACGGGGTGGGGCCTGCGGGGCATGAGCCAGGCTTTCGACCTCTTGCGCCAGCGCGTCCAGACGCTGGGCCCTCCAGTGCGCGACCCTCGCTCTGGGGCTTACTGTTGCGTCGCATGTGGCACTGCTATGGTTTATCCTACCGTCGTCGTCGCCGATGCAGGCCGAGCCTACGAAGACCTCCACTCGCGCGAAATCGAAAAGGCAATCGACCAACTATTCGACCAGATACCTCGACACACTCGTTCGCGCACTATCGCGATCACCGTTGAGAAACGTGGCTTTGAAACTCGTTGGGGTGGAAACTATGCAGCGCCGCATGCTGACAGGTGCATTTTCAGTTGCAAGTCGCTGCGCAGGTGCCTCCTGGGTTTCCTTGGGATGCGACTGTGCCGCATCGGCAACTTTTGCTTGGGACAGATCAAAGGCATCCCCATTGGAGGCCCTTTGTCGGGGCACATTCCGGAGATCGTTCTACGCCGCGCTGAGACCTCTCACGATGCAGGTCAATCAAAAAGGGTTACATGTTGCGGCAGGTAGATATGTTGACGACTTGGGCCGGTTCTCCCGTGCCCTCTGTCGTGCCTGTGTCTCTCGGATGATAGGGCAGGTGTATAACAAACATGGTCAAGTTTAAGGTCGATGACTCTTTCAATATTGTCAATGACACCATAATCGTTCAGAAGTTTCTAGATTCGGAGGTCCACCTGAGTCTCGCAGAGTTCACCCTAGAGCCCCTTCGTAAGAATGAGAAGTTTGTTTGGACTGGAGCCCTATCAGACCTTGCCAAACAATCAGTTCCCCCATATGCCTTTAAGAAAGACCTGCACTCCTTAAGCGACACCGAACCGAACTTAAAGGACGTTTATTCTCGGAAAGGGCATAGGCCCAGGGTTCTCTTTTAGTAGGTTTACCCTCGGTTTTGACTTGCAGGGGGCCTGCGAATTTCTTGTGCGATAAATTGCGAGGTCGAAGGGGGCCGGCGAATTAACATTGTGAGGGCGAAGGCCATTTTTCGCCACCCCTCACGCAGATCGTGTTCTTGGAATTTAACTGCCTTTAAGGATGGTAAAGCCCACTTTTTTCCGACATCGATTTTAAACTATAAAAAAAACGATGTAAACGCGTTCGTTCGATAAATAACGAGGTACCGCGGCCTCCAGATAGGCGCTGGGAGCGGACTTTTGGATTCTTGAAGTTGCATAAGTTCGGAAATCGCAGAAATCCCATGTGTTTTTGGGCCCTGACCCTGCGGATCTGCTTGAGGGGTGGCACCGAATTTCAGAAATGTGGCACATCCCTTGTGTTTTTGGACCCTGACCCCGCGGATCTGCGTGAGCGGTGGCACCGGATTTCAGAAATGTTGCGAATCCCCTCTGTTTTTGAACCCTGACCCCGCGGATCTGCGTGAGGGGTGGCACCGAATTTCAGAAATGTTGCGAATCCCCTCTGTTTTTGGACCCTGACCCCGCCGACCTGCGTGAGGGGTGGCGCCGAATTTCAGAAATGTGGCAAGTCCCATGTGTTTTCGGACCTTGACTTCGCCCAGGAGGGCCCAGGAAAGTCCAGGAGAGCCCAGGAGAGCCCAGGAGGGCCCAGGAGAGCCCAGGAGGGCCCAGGAGGACCCAGGAGGCTCCAAGAGGCACCAGGGGGGCCAAGGAGGGCCCAGGAGAAGCTCCAGGAGGCTCCAGGAGAGCCCAGGAGGGCCCAAGAGGTCCAAGGAAGACCCAGGAGGGCCCAGGAGCCCTTACGAGGGATCGTGGCCCTGGGAGCGCTGACGTAGCGTAATTTACGAGGGATCGTGGCCCTGGGAGCGCGGGCGTAGTGTAATTCAGAATTTGTTGAGGATGTCTCGAGCGAAGCGCTGGTTTTGCAGAGTTGGGGATGTCTCGAGCGAAACGCTTGGTTTCAGAATTTGTTGAGGATGTCTCAAGCGAAACGCTGGTTTTGCAGAGCCGACCGCGACACGGAAAAGCGCTCCTCGCGCAGGAATTCCGAGGATGTCTCGCGCGTGCCGCGTCCCGCGCGCAGGAATTTTGATGTCTTATGG